CAGGAGTTTGAGACCAGCCTGGCCAACGTGGTGAAACCCTGTTTCTACTAAAAATACACAATTCAAAAAAGTAGCCAGGTGTGGTGGCACACACCTGTAATCCCAGCTACACAGGAGGCTAAGACATGAGAATTGCTTGAACCTGGGAGGTGGAGGTTACAGTGAGCTGACATTGAGCCACTGCACTTCAGATACAGTGATGACAGAGTGAGACTCCGTCTCAAAAAAAAAAAAAAAAAAAAAAAGGCAAAAGAACGAAGCACTTTTCTTCAGAGTTCAGACAAAACAGCTGAGAATCCTGAAAGAGCTGTTAACATTCAGTGTGAGCATGAAGGAAGCACACAGCACGGTCTGTGTTCTGTGATACAGGCCCACTCACCCTTCTAGTTCATCAGATGGGCCCGGGTTCCAGTCACCTTCCTACTTCATTTCACATCTCCCCTGAGAGACAACACAGCAGACGTCACAAACACCGCAAACGCAGCCAGGGACAAGCTGACACACCTCTTCAACAAGAACTCACGGCAACACACCTGGCAGAAACACACCAGGGCATGGCAAGGGTGTACAAATGAGGTGCCTTTCAGCAGTTTCAGGATTCCTGACCACTGTGTGGATGGAGTTAAAAATGACCATGGCTCCAAGGAAAGAAGAAGAGACGGCTTTATTCCCAGGCAGTTTCTAATGCAGGTGAACCAACATGTATTTTCCAAGCAGGTGGACTTTTTGACTTTAATTCATTCCCTGATTCTGCCAAATCAGTCTTACAGATAAAAAGTGAATTTGAAAATTTATAAAATAGCAACATCAATCTGTAATGAAAGCTGACTACCAAAAGTCTAGGCTGACAATATTTTTAAAACAATAAAGCAAACATATGCCTAAATGAAAGAAGCTACAATTTCACTGTTATTCTAAAATTTAAGATTAATTCTTGGCCAGGATTGTGCCTACCATGTCAGAACAGGCATCACAGTCAGAAAAGTCACATATTGCAGAGATGGTTTATTATAAGCACACCTGCCATCTGGTTTTCAAAGCTACACAAATACAAATATAAACAACAACACAAAGGAAAGTCTAGGACCATATTTTCAGAGAGATGGATATCCTGAAACACCTTGGAAAGCTTACATAATCTATACAGAGGCTAGTACATTGCTTACTTTTTAAAATATCTGCTGGTGCTCAGTGAGGATGTGAAAGCCACTATCAACACCACTGAGACTGTGGTGCCACAGTCTGGTACACAGCTCCTTCTCGCTCCCTTAGACATGATAAAGGCAAATCAACCATGACTATTGTTCTCTGATCGTATTACTCTTTCCTCATGTGCTCCCTACTTTTATTGCCTTGTCTTAACTTTTCCTTCCCTTCCTTCCTCCTTCCCGTCGTTCCTATTTGCACATTTATTTGATATTTTCTACTCACAAGGCCACTTTCACATGTTATATCTTGTTTTGTTCTCGAGTGAAGCAAACATCATCGCAACTTTTAAAAGTCAGAAAGCAGACCTGAATGCTAAATGACCTGTTCAGGACTTCAGAGTAAGGGGATGAACACGAGCTTCATTCTAACTTTTCTGATTCTACACTATGGCTTCTCCCCGCTCATAAGAGTTTGCCGTCGGTCACTTTTCTTCCTCTCACCTCTTCTTTCCTTCCTTCCGTAGGTGGTGCTGCACCATGCAGGCTCTCCACGAGTACTTGTGTCACCTACTTTGCCCTTTTTCTCCCCATTCTTCAGCCCCTCCCCTTGCTTATCCCTTCTCCTTGACTAATTGCCACTTATCCTTTAGCTGTCAGCATGCATATGCCTCACCAGGAGACTTCCAGAAACACTCGGTTCAGGAGGAGGCACCTTGCCTGTGTGCTCACAGAACATCCTATCTTTCCCAAGGAGAGGGCTCAAGATCCAAGACTAGACAGGGAGTATGGCTAGCTTATTCAATACGGTGATGCCTGCCGCAGATGCAAATCCCGTTTCCAAACCTCACCAACGGCAAATCATTTGATTATAGAAATGGGTAGGACAACATAAGTAAGGAGGGTGCTAAAAAAAATTCTCTCTATAGTTTGACAATGGAAAAATTCAGATGAGCCTGAATCTTTCCGGAAAGACAGAATGCTATTTCCTTAAATTACTGTAATCCCTTCTACCTTACCCTGCCTCTAAAATGGCCTGAACAGCACAATCCATCTCCCCGCATTTGTGTTAAACAGATGATATAACTGTTTAAATATCACAATTTCTTTCTTTTACCATGAAGGCAAAGAGATGCTGGCTATAGATAGATTTTTCACATCAATAACTTCTACTTGAAACCTATTTCATTATTACATTACGCCATTTTAATGAAATATATCAAACCTAAAGACAGGAATAGAAAATAGCAACCACCCATATACCCATTATTCAGTTTTATCAAACCATAACATTTTGTCATATTTAACTTTTTAAAAATAAAACATTATAAATACATTTGAGATATGGCTTACACCCCTCCCTAATACCATTTCCCACTTCCTAGAAAAACATTATCCTGAAGTTGATGTATACTTTTTGAAAATGTATTTATATTAAAAATATACAGGATTAGTTAGTTAGTTTCTTACATATTACGTGAACTATGCATTTGGCAATATGGCAGTCAAGATATTCTAACAAACTTTGCTACAACAGAGCAGGAAAGGCTTAATAAATTACAACAAGAGTCCTTTTAAATACATATTTGAGTTCATGCATTAGTCGGGGAAATCTGGAGGTATGAAAAAATAGAGGTGAATCAAGACAGTGAGTACTAAAGTCCCAGCTGGAAGAATGGTAATCATGAATCCTGCATAAGGCCAGAACTTTGTGCTATACTCTATTTCTCTGTATCTTTGTTGACAATTTAAAATGTTAGATTTTAAAAATTATTTCCCATTTGAAAAAGCTCCTGGTGGTTTTCTTTTGTTTTTCCCTGATTACTAATAAAGATAAGCACCTTTTCATGTATTTATTGGTCATTCTATATATATATCATCTGCCACCTTCATGTTTACCCATTTTTCTCTTAAGCTGCAATTTCTGTTTATTTGGAGGAGCTCTTTATAAATGCCAAATGTGTATTTGACATACCACTGGATTCCTATTAGAATGGCTACAATTAACATGACTAACCCTATCAAGTATTGCTGAACATGTAGAGCAAATGGAATTTTCATAGACTACTGGTGGGAATCAAGATGGTGCAACCACATCAGAAAACAGTTTAGCAGATTTTTTGCTTTGTTTTGTTTTTTAAGTTAAACATAGCCCTACTATTTGATCTAGTCATTTAGGCATTTGCCCAAGACGAATGAAAACTTAGGACCCAGAAAGACTCATACACGAATGTTCATATATGCTTTACTGGTAATAGCAAAAAACTGGAAACTATCCAGATATCTATCAATGAGTATATGGATAAACAAATCATGGAATGGAATACTGATTAACAATAAAAAATAATCAACTACTGATATACACTATGACATAGATGAATTTCAACATAATTATTTTAAGTAAAACAAGCCAGACAAAAAAGAGCACGTATTATAAGATTCCATTTATACAAACAAAAAAATGCAAACTAATCAGAAAGCAGATCACATGTTGCCTGGGGTGATATGTGGTAAGGGCAGAAGGAAAGGACCGCCAATGAGCAGGAGGAAACTCCTGGGGACAATGAAGGTGTCATGTATTGATTCTGCTGGTAGCTTCATGGCATGAACTTCTAAGATGTCAAAACTTGTATGATTGTGCAAGTATGTTCAGTTCACTGTATGGGAACTTATCAAACAAAATGTACACTTTAGATATGCATAGCTTACTTTATGTTAATTACACCTCAACAAAACTGATTAAAAAAAATAATAACAAGAATAAGAGAATAAAGAAGAATCTCCTCCACAGCAGGTATCTGTCTTCTCAGTATTCCTTAAAGATAGGTCACAATTAGGAAAATCCACTAACCTTCTCTCTATATCGTGATTTAAAAAAAAAACAAAATGTATCTCAATTAAGTTAAAAATAGTTGAGAGTAAAGGTGGCATTACTGATAACAAATATTTTTTGAAAAATAAAGGCAAGTAACTAATTGAGGTCTGGATCTTAACAATATTGTTCCTCCTGCAGGAAATTCAATGTTAATATTTTTGCTGTTGACAGTGGTAATCAGTATGGCAATATGTTAAGTTTTCCACGGTTCATTCACATAGTAAAGAAACTTGGGCCGCTGATCACGTCCTCATTTAATGATAACATAATAATATACTCCTATCAGCCTCTATATTTTCACTCCATTGATGATATTGATCCTAATCCATTATCATTCTTAGCAAAGGTTATAATCATTTTTCTTTCTCTAGCTAAAAGTTTCTGAATGCCAATCTGGAGCCACAGGTAAAAAATTTCATACATGACCTCATTACATTTTTCAGTCAAATTACAGTCAAAACTTGGTTTCATGCACAAAATTATTTAAAATATTGTATCAAATTACCTTCAGGCTACATGCATAAAGCATAGATGAAATACAAATAAATTTCATGTTTAGACTTGGCTCCCATCCCCAAGATATCTCATATGTACATGTAAGAATTTCAGGCCGGGCACAGTAGCTCACTCTTGTAATCCCAGCACTTTGAAAGACCAAGGTGGGTGGATCACGAGTTCAGGAGTTTGAGACCAGCCTGGCCAACATGGTGAAACCCCGTCTCTACTAAAATACAGTATAAGGTGGCAGGTGCCTGTAATCCTAGCTACTCAGGAGGCTGAGGCAGGAGAACTGCTTGAACTCAGGATACGGAGGTTGCAGTGAGCAACCTGGGTGACAGAGCAAGACTCTGTCTCAGAAAAAAAAAAAAAAAAAAAAAAAAAAATTCAAAATCTGAAAAAAAAAAAAAAAAAGAAATCCGAAACACTTTGGATACAAATATTTCAGATAAGAGATACTCAACCTGTGTTTGAGTACTTACCATCTCCAAAAAGATGTGTTATGAGTCTGGTAAGCGTTTGCTTAAGATCAAACTCTACAAGCTTCATGGCCTCCATGGTGTGAGTCTCTTGTTTATGTGCAGAGCGAGAACTTTGTTCAAAGAGCTGCAGGCTTTCTCCATCCTCTATACCAGCAAATAACTGTAAACCAACAGGAAAACATAAATAAAGAAAATATCCCGGCCCATCTATATCAAATAACTTTAAAATTCTGCTAAAAATCTTTTGACTTTAAAAAGTTATAACATGGGAATAAGACTCATTACGTCTTGTCAATAAACCTAATAAAATCAACATTCACTTAGTACTAACTCTGAAGAAAGCACTACACTACATGGTATGGAGGGTCTTTAGAGAATTAAAAGACACTCTTTTGATCTTTGCTAATCTGTTTTTCATCTGCATGAACTTAGCCGTTTCCTAAGAAGAGCCATTATCTTTAGTTCTAGTGGAAATACTAGTGAATCACTTTCAGACTCTAAAATTATTTAATCTCTGACCATTCCACAGTGTGGAGTAATTAAATCCTGTAAGGTCCATGAAGGTAGGAAACAAGCTGGAATTTGCTAACCCCGTATCTGCAAAGCCCAAGGCAGAGCCTGAGACATGTTTCTGCCACCTACTATCCATGTAAACTTAGGCAGGTGATACGGTAGCTAAGCCTCAGGGCATCATCTGTAAAGTGGAAATAATAATAGCAAATTAGTAGATTTTATTAAAAACAAAATAATACATGAAAAATATAGAGTATCTGGCACCCAATGGCTAAGTAAGTTTTCCTCATTATTGTTATCATGATTATTAACCACAGCTATCACCAGTCATAAGCTGCTTTACCACTGAAATAAAATAACCTTCTGGTCAGTGACATAGCAGGTCTTTACTTGGCACAAGATTGACTCAAAATGGATAACCGAGCAAATGAATCTATCATTCTTCTCACCCCAAGTCCCATAATCAAACATAAAAAATGTTTTAATAAAAGAATGAATCAGCTGCCATTTCTAGTAATAACGGTTTGGGTAATTAGAACCAAACTTCCTGATACATGCTACTAAAAAAGTACAGAAATTCTTAAAAATACAAAATGATAGAGAGGAATGATTAAACTCTACAGGAAGCATGAAGCCAGGTGTAAAAAATAAATAAAATAAAATAAGTCAGCACAAAGCCAGACAGAAGGATTGAGAATGTATGCCTATGTAACCTATCAACTGAAACCTGACCATGGGTTGTGAAAACTTGCCATGGCAAGTGAGACAAAAGGGAAAGCTTTGTTATGGAACCAAGCTGGGGTGTCTGAGTCCCTAAAAGACTCATCCCCCTGATGAGGAAGAGGACAAAAGTAAACCAGTCCTGTGCAGACTTGCAGCCAGGCGCCATAATTTCTGGACAACAGAGAGAGCCTCAGGCTACTAAGGTAAACTAAGACAATCCCAGACACACTTCCTTTAACTGGCCAGCAATATAAGACAAAAACATTTTCAGAAAAAGATTCTAATATCCTAGGCCTCGAATGATTCTTATGAGGACTAAAGACAATGACGGCTGTTAAGGCTTCCTCTAAAAATAATTTAGAGCAGCAAGAACTATTGAACACAATGGCTTTGGCACGCAGGCAGGCAGGCAGGCAGACAGACAGGAAGGAAGCCAGGCGGGCAGGCAGGCAGGCCAACCAAAACACAGGGACAGAACTCTTACACTCCTATCCCACTGATAAGGCTGTGAAATAACAAGAGCAAGCTGGGAAAAAAAATTGGAGAAAGAGAGGAGAATGAGTGAGGTGCTAAGGTGGACCTTAAAAACCCAGAAAGCGTTAAGTTACACTAAGTGTGAAAATCCTTTAAAAAGTGTCCTAGTAGGCCTGAGCAGGGACTACAGAAAAGTGATGTAAAAGCATGCTCAATTTGAAGTGACAGGCTTCCAAAAGCAGTTACACTGGAAAAGAAAAGAGTTAATAAAAAGTGAAAGACAACCTTTTCAATGAGGTAAGAAGAGAAAAAAGACGCAGACAAGAAAAGTCACCGTTGTCAAAGATAAAGCACAACTAAAAAATCAGAGGATTTACAAAACCATTCTCTAACCCACACCAAAAATAAATAAATAAATAACCACTAAAGTGTGCATTGCTACACTAACAGAAGAGGGCAACAGAGAACTAGAAAGTCTTTTACACACCCAAATAAAGAACAAAACTATTTAATAAAAATGTAGAAAATTGTTACTCAAAAAGCAGAAAGTCAATTCAAAAGAGCTAAACTAATGAAAATCCAACTCTTCTCCCCTACCAGAAAAAAATAAGCACTAAAAAAATAAAATAAAACTAATACTTGAAAACTAAACTACATATATTCAATCAAGCATTTAAGGATATAAATTGCTTTAGTCAGAAACTCAAAAATTAAGAACAGAAATAAAGAAAAAATGAAAAGGTAATTGATTTAACTTGGAAAAAAATAGAAGAAATAAAATCATGTCAGAAACAAAGTCTACATTCCAAAGCATGCAACAGACAATGGACTCAATCAAGATTTAATAAGGAGGCACTGAAAAAATGGAGGAAAAAAAAACTCAAGGATGATAAAATAAAGAAAGAAGAATCAGAGAGAAAGTGGTAGAAATGGAACACAGGTAAAGAAGGAATTATATTTATATAATTGGAGTCCTTAAATAGAAGAAAAAACCCCAATGGAACAGAACTAATTAATACCAGATAAAATGGGTACCTGTGAATAAAAAATCTGAAAGGACCAAATATATGACAGATTGTTGTAAAACAGACTTCAAAAATAATGGGGAAAATTGTCAAGCCCTCTAGGCAAGAAAATCAAATAACATAGAGAAGTAAAGAATCAGACTGGCATCAGATTCTTCAAAAGCAACACAGAAACAAGACAACAATGAAACCACATTTTCAAGACAACTTAATTTTTAAAAGTGTGGACCAAGAAGTCTATATCCATCAATGCTGTTATTTAAGCACCAACTTCTGCAGAAAAACCTTCAAACACACAAGAGCACAGGGAATGTCACAATAATGAGCTCTTTCTGAAGAATTTACCAAAGCATAAGCCTTGTTCAAGTAATAAATAACTAGGAAAATTTCAGCAAAAAACAAATGGAGGACATGTCAATACATAAAATATGTAGATTTCACACTAGAAGCTGGGGATTACACTGAAAGAGTAATATGTAATTGTTGTATACGTTCTGACAAAGTAGAAATAATGTAACTAAGCAATGAAAGAAAGACACAAAGAGGTACGCAGAATGTACTGATTATTGTATAGGCAATAGTTAAAGAATATCTTTAAGACAAACTAAACAGAACAGAGTTAAATATGAGGGATAAGGGAATTTAAGTTTTAAGTATAAGAACAACCATTAAAATAAAAATATAACCTTTCTAAATAGCAACAAAAATTTTCATTCAAAAGCATAATAAACATATATTATAGAGAAATAAAATATAACATGTTATGACATATACAATGCCACACTATATTTATCATGATAGAGTTGAGCTAAAATATACCAATAACTCAATAAATGTGAGTCATATCAATAAATGTGAAAAGGCTTAATACACCTCTTAAAAAAAATAAACCTGGCCAAAAAGCATGACACAACCATATAAAAAATACACTTAAAACAATGTTATAAACAAATAAATGGACAGACTATAACAGGCAAACAGACACAATAAAAAACCAAGCAGCATAGCATTCTTTTTTTTTTTTTTTTGAAACAGAGTCTCACTCTGTCGCTGAGGCTGGAGTACAGTGGCACGCTGCAACCTCCATGTGCCAGTTTCAAGCAATTCCCTGCCTCAGCCTCCCAAGTAGCTGGGATTACAAGCATCTGCCACCACGCCTGGCTAAATTTTTTGTGTTATCAGTAGAGACGGGGTTTTACCATCTTGGCCATGCTGGCCTTGAACTCCTGACCTCGTGATCCACCCGCCTCAGCCCTCCCAAAGTGCTGTGATTACAGGCTGTGAGCCACCATGCCCGGCCAGCATAGCATTCTTAAAATCAGAAAAAGTACAATTCAAGCAAAAAAAAAACCACCTGAGCAAGACAAAGAAGATTCTTGTATTAATGCTAAAAGTTTCAAATCACAATGAAGGTATAATATTTATGAATATCTATACATCAGTAAGGCAATAATTACCTTTGTGTAGAAAGAAGCATAGGAGATGGCAAAAGACACACATAGAAACACATTAATATTAGTAACAGGAAACTTCAATACACCATTCTTAGTATAAGATGAAATGCGCAAAATTAACAAGATAAAAGACCTAAAAACACAATTACAAGAGGAAATTGTGTATACATACATACATATGTGTACACATAGTTTACATACACATACACACATACATTAAACTTACTCCCTTTATAATAAAAAATATATTTTATTCTCAAGGTCCCAGAGAACATTAAAAAAAATTGATCAAATGTAAGTCACACACAAGTAAGTATATTCCATAAAGAACAAATAATAAACTATATTATCTGATTAAAATACAATTAAACTAAAAATCATTAACAACATACACATCACAAACATACATACAAAGGTCTTTCCACCTGAAAAATGACAAAAAAGAAGGGAAAAAATGTCACAACACACACACACACACACACACACACACACATACACACACACACACACACAAAGGTCTTTTCACCTGAAAAATGACAAAAAAGAAGGGAAAAATGTCAGGAAGCATACACCACAAAGAGGTAATACCACTAACATATAAGAAACTTTTAAAAGTTGACAAAGGGCCAAATACTCAATAAAAAAAATGGAAAAAGAACAGACAATTCACCAAAAAAAAATACATATATATGAAAATGACCTCTGAACATATGAAAAGGGATTCAAACTTAGAGAAGAACAAATTAAGCAAATTAAAACAACCCTGACATAATATTTCTAACCTATCACAATGGCAAAAATTTAAAAGCTGGATAACATACTCTTGAATATGCGGAAGCTTTGGAAAACAGGTACAGTTATACTTTGCTGGTGAAAATGGAAACTGGTAGAACCCTTTTGGAGATGAATTTGAAAATATCCAACAAAACTAAATATTTGTTCATCTCTTGACCCAGGCCTTCAATTTCTAG